CTGCCAGTCTTCATATGGGGAGGACTCAGAGCCCTTCCACCATATTGGTTGCCATTCTCTGAAAAAGTTCTAGTTTATAATCTGTATATATATTTATAGTATGCTTGGTCTTAAGGCAGCTAGGTAGCATAGAAGATAGAGCCCCAGGCCTGGAGTCAGAAGACCTGAGTTCAAATCCAGCCTCAGACACTTACTAGCTGTATGACCCTGGGCAAGTCACTTGACCCTGTTTGCCTCAATAAAATGAGCTGGAGAAGGAAATGGCAAACCACTCCAGTATCTTTGCCGAGAAAACCCCAAATAGGATCACAAGAGTTGGGCATTACTGAAATGACTCAACAATATTCATGATCTTATAAAAGAGCCTCCATTAGTCTGAAACGTGGAATGGCCATAAGGGTAACTTTCTGTATTCCTCAGCAATATGTTGGATACTCTCAGATAAGACATGGGCCCTGCCTTTGAGGAGATTTTGAATCTAGTAGGGAAGACAACATATGCATGTGAATGATTGTTTTCATGGTAATAGGTGAGGAAGATAATGCAGTCCATTAGTGAAATAGGGATGATAACAGTAGCTATGTCTCTGGCTTGTTGACTGAGTGATGCCAATGGCCACAGCTTCCTAGATAATTACCAGGATATCTTTATTATGCTTTTCAGATAAACTTTTTTAAGAAAGGAGCCGAGATGTTTTCCAAAAGGATGGACAGCCTTTTGTCTGACACCAGAACCATGGTTCAAAGGTAACACCACCCTGAAATTGGAATTCTTTTCTTGGTAGATTGTTGTGGGAAGGGTGTTGCCTGTGCTATTGAATCAGCCCCAGGTATAGCAGCCTAGACTACAAAGTGACGGTGTCAGCCACGCACAGGAAAAAGAGGACAATTCTGGATTTTGCCTGCCATCCTCCTCATCAAGAAAGAGAGCTGGTGTCAGAGCCAAGAATGCTTTAGTCCCAACGCTGACACATACTGGGCTTTGAGGCCTTGGGAAAGTCATTTCTCATCTGAGTGCTCTAAGCAGCCTCTAAGTCTACATGTTGCAGAAAACGTACCAATCTGCATTGGTAGAGAATTTTCTTACCCGAGAGTTCCCTATCCCGGTGAAATCCCCAATCCATTACCTCTTGGCTATCTCCTATAAATAGTCCAGATAGTAAGAGAAGCAAGGTCATCCCTACTTAACTCTTGCCCCTTCAAAGTTCTGGATGTTTTTACATATGTCTTCAGATTGAGAAAGAAATGAGGGCTTGCAGAATCTTTGAATTCCCATATATCCCAGTCCTGCACATTATAACTATTTTAAAGGGTTTAAAAGGTTTTTGAAAAACAACCCTGAGTCTAATTTCTTTTCCCTTGAGCTCACTGACCTATGATCTTGAACTAGCCTTTTGTCAGCTTTCAGTCTTTCAGATGTACTGAGAGTTGCTTTGAGCACAATTTGAGTTTGAAACGGATACAGAGAAAGGCATCAAAAGGGCTTGTTCTTAGTCAGTTTCTTTGATGGAAGCTCCTGTAAAGACAGCTGCTAGAGAGACAACTGCCTACCTACCACCCCTAGGAAGCCAACATGGGAGGCTGACTCCTAGCAGATAAAAGAGACTTTAAGTAGCCACTTAATTTCTTTAACAGCCTATGGTCCGGTCTAGCAGATGGCTCTTACATGTCTTCCAGGATTATTTTCCCACTGCAAAATTTGCTTTGATGCCATCTACACTACAGAAGGGCTATTTACTCCCCCTCCTCCTCCTCCTCCTCTTCCTTCTTCTCCTCCTTCTACCACCTTCTCTTATCATCCTCATGCTGATGAGCTGTAAGAATATTAGCAAGAGGCCTCATCTTGGTATGGGTTAACCCTGGGCTCTTAATATCATTTGTCTTGTCTTGATGTAGAGGTAACCCCAGGCTTTTAGTATCATTTGTCTCATCTTGGTATAGGCGTAAAGGTTATGCCAGCTGGGTGCAAGCTCTGGCAATGATGACCATGCTGGAAAGGCTGCAAGCGTGGCCCAGTGGAATGCCTGGCATTTCAGGACCAGCCTGGCTAAGTTACAAGAATGAGATCATGAGGCAGCTAAGCTAGGTGGTAGAGTGGTTGGGGCGATAGCTTCAGAATTAGTAAAATCTAAGTTGCTTTGAAGTTCAAACAAGGCATAAAGGTCTTTGCCAAACTCAAGGCCAGGGCTCTTAACCTGATGGCTGTGACTTTGTTTTTTTAATTGGATAACTGTATTTCAATTAATTGGTTTCCTTCATAATCTTCAATGTTTTATATTACGCATTTAAAAATGTGATTCTGAGAAAGGGGCCATAGGCTTCACCAGGCTACCAAAGGGATCCAGGACACAAAAAAGGTAAAGGACCCCAGCCTTAAAGTGAGAGGGACTAGATCTGTTACTTCAGTGGCATAGGGAACTCCCATGTGAGGAAACTCCTTCTACCAGTGCAAGTCAGGACCTTCTTGGCAATTTCGAATTGCCTGATCATTGCTCATTGATTCTAGATCATTGAGTGACTTGCCAGGTTCCATAGCCAGTACAAGTCAGAGGCCAGACTTGAACCCAAGACCTCCTGGTTCCAAGAGCAGCTCTCTGTTCACTGTGTCTCCCCAGAAGCTCTACATTAATGCTCACTTGAAAGCCCTAGATGAGCACTAACTCTGTTAGCAGCAGTGGTGGCCCAGCTTCAGGAGAGTGGAATTTTTGGCCACAGCAACTCACTGAGACTGTCTGCCAAGTCATGGGCATCCTTGAGGGATGGATGCTTCTTGAGGCGAAGGGTGGCCTCATTTTTGCCTTTCTGTTCCCAAGACCTTGCCCAGGTACTGACATTATAGAAGAGCAGTGACTTATTTAGAGTGAAATTGAAGAGGGAGTATTAGTAAGAATCAGTCTTGGAATCTGAAAGACCAGGGTTCACCTCCTGCCTCTGACCCTAACTGTGGGTCCTTGGACGAGTTATTTCTTTCTGGTCCTCAGTTTCTTCATCTATAGAACAAAGGGGTTGGACTTAGCCTCTAAGGTCTCTTCTAGCTCTAAATATATCATTCTTGGACTTACTACCTGTTTGACCTTGGACACGTCACTGTCCAAGGCTCCATCTGAGCCTCAGTTTCCTGAGCCATAAAATAAGAGGATTAGATTCATCCTCTATGGCCCCTTCTGGCTCTCAATATATCATCCTTCCAACACTAAATCTATCATCCCTCCTTCCTGTAAGTTGATTGGGTGGATGAAGCTTAAAAGTAAGGAATAAGTCCTAAAAAAATAAGCACCAAACTTTTAGTACGAGCACTAGGGGTGAGGGCGTGATCTTCGAAAATGAAACCCCAGGACTCTTGGGGTTTGTGAAAGCCTTGGATCTATTCTGAAATTGCCTACACTGATTTTCCCAAGAGTCAGCACCAAGAAAGGTTGCAGGACCGGCAATTTGGTTCCTCAGAGAGCTGTCCCTATAACCTGATTCATATCACCTGCTTTTCAATTTCATTACTTGACTCCTGGGAATTTTAGAGAAAGATAAAAGAGCATCTCCTCCTTCCTCAATTTGGAAACATCTCCCTGTCTTCTCTTCACTCCAGTTGCCTTATATTCCTGTTATTTTAACCTTCCTCTGTAAGAGTCATAGGATCAGCTGATAAGAGATAGTAGAGACCATTGAGTCTTGTATTCAGGACTCCTCTATTTTACATGTGAAGGAACTGAGTCCAAGAAAAGGGAAGTTACGTACCCAAGGTCTCAGGATTCTAACCCTGGAACTCTGACTCCAAATCCAAAAGTTGGACTTTTATCTTTGCTTTCCTGGTGTCCAGCACACAATAGGAGCTTAATAAGTTCTTGTTAGCATGCTTCCAGAGAGCTGATGATGAAGCATGCTGGCATCTCCTGACAGAGAGGTGATTGACCCAAGATGCAGACCATAACATGTGTTTTTGGATATGGCCAATGTGAGGATTTGACTAAGCTTGTTTATTAAAAGGATTTTGTTTTTCTTTTTCTTTTTCCTTCTTGATTGGGTGAGAGCAGGGAGGAGAAGGAAGAGGTAGAAGGGACATAAAATAAATGCTTGTTAGTTGAAAAATGTAATTGAATTTTTTAAATGTTTGTTGATTATCTTGGAAGCTGGAAATATGGATGTAGAGGTAAAGGAGGACCTTCCCTCCCAAAGCTTGTGTTTGCATTCCAATGGCGACATTCCAACCTTCTGTCTTAAGCATACAGGAAGAATCAGAGGCAGAGGTTGAAAAGATGCAGCTGTCCCAGCAAGAGCTGCTCTCTGTTGATGAATCCGTTTACACCCCAGATTTCGACGTCGCTGCACCCGCCGTCAACAGGAACCTCATCCAGAAGGCTGGTTACCTCAATCTCAGAAAGTGAGGAGATGACATGACCTTATACCCCTCTCCCCTTATCTTCTCCATGTGCCCCAATACCCATGGGAGCACAGGGTATGAGCACTGAGAATGCTCCCAGTGTAGACTGTCTGTTTTATTGTGAGAGATGCTCAAGACCTCCCCTTGTACAGGGCAGGACACAATCTCACCTCAGCTGTAGCCACCAACAGCATCACCTAGCAAGGGTCTGACTCAACTCATTTGGATGAGTGTGGTTCATAGTCTCATAGGTAGAAAGGATCTCAGAGGCTATCTGGCCCAACCTCCTGATTTTACAGAGGGGGAAACTGAGGCCCAGAGAAGGGAAGTGATTTAACCACTATCACACAGGTAAGATCGTGAGTATAGAGCTGGAAGGGACCTCCAAGTCAATCTAGTCAATCCCCTGATTTTACAGAGGGGGAAACTGAGGCCCAGAGAGGTTAATGGACTTACTAGGTAGCAAGTGGTTCTTTAGTTCCTGAGGGAGGAAAAAGGTGCTGCATTTTAGAGCAAGGCAAGGGCAGCAAGCCGATTGAATATTAAAGAGATATTAAAATCGGGCATCCTTAGAGATCAGCGTGGGAAAGCAGCATGAGACAGTAGAAGGTGGGATAGATGTGGAGTCAGATTCAAATGGATTCCAGATTCTACCAATCAATCTTTTTAAAAAGCAATCAACACATATTTATTAAGCACCTACTATGTGCCAGGCACTGTGCTGGGTGCTGAGGCTACAAAGACAAAGACTCAGAGCCCCTCCCCTCAAGGAACCTCATCCCCTTTGATTTCCAGCGTTACACCAATAAAATCACAAGTTTGGTCCAAAAAAGTCAGGTATTGTTTATTATAACGCCTCCAGTGGACAGTGGCCCCCATGAGACCATTCAGAGATAAATGCTGAGTCGGCCACTCATTACCATGTGACCTGAGGAACATCATCACTCCTCCTCTGGGGTCCTCAGTTTTCCCACCTGTAAAATGGAGGGTTGGACTTATGGTCCTATCTTCTAGTCCAGACCCTTCATGTCCCTTCTGGTCACAGATCCAGGAGCCTGGGATTGGGATCACTGGCTCTTAGGGGACTGCTATTCCATGGTGCTGACTAATATAAGAGATGGGGGGGTATATTTCTTGGTGTTCCCTCCCTCTCCCCCCAAAAAATCATTTGCTGAGAAAGTTACTTCGATGAGGGGATTTTAATCTTTTTTGTCCTTTCACAGTCTGGACTCACTCTCAGAAGAATAGTTTTTTTAATTTAGAAAACAAAATGCAGAGAATTGCAATGGAAATCAATTTTATCAAAATAAAGATGTCACTTTTTCCCCATCTAAGTTCACAGACTTCCTGAAATCTGTCCATGATGCCCTTTGGGATCTGTAGGTCCCACACTAAGACCCTTTGGATTAGACTGTCCTCCATTGACATCTGTTGTGTCTCTGAATGATCTCAGTGGTCCCACTGTCCGCTGGAGGCTTCATAATAAACACCATCCAACTTTTTTTGGCCCAAACCTGTGATTTTATTGGTGTAATGCTGCCGATTAAAATCCATGAGGTTCCTTGAAGAGCAGGACTCTGGTTCTTTGTCTTTCTATCCTTAGTACCCAGCACAGTGCCTGGCACGTTGCTTTTGAAAAATTGATTGGTAGTATACTGAACTTAGAATTAGGAGAGACCCGGGTTTGAATCCCACCTCTGATATTTACTTACCCTAGGTAAGTCACTTAATTTCAAGCCTCAGTTGCCTCTTCTCTAAAATAGGGTTAAGAACACCTATAACCTGGAGAAAGCGTTTTGCCGGTTCTAAACCGTTATAAATGCCTGTGCTGGGCAACATTCTGGGCTCTTTTCAAACCTGGTTATTTCCTGCAGTAAAACTGGCCTGGTCACCACCACGTGGGAGAGGCTGTACTTCTTCACTCAAGGTGGCAACCTCATGTGTCAGCCTCGGGGCGCTGTTGCCGGCGGTTTGATCCAGGATTTGGACAACTGCTCTGTCATGGCCGTGGACTGTGAAGACCGGCGCTACTGTTTCCAGATCACCACCCCGACGGGAAAACCGTAAGGCTCCAGGGTTCCCCGGGGGGAGGGCAGCGTTGGGAGGCAGCCCGTCCTGGTTGATTTTCCAGAGGCTGGTAGATCATTAACCACACAGGAGGCTTCAGTCCATGCCCCTCCCTGGGAGGGCCCTTATTCTGCTTTCTTTGACCTGGGTTTTATTGACCTTTGGGGAGAGCCCTTATAATGCTGATTTTAAGTAAACAAAAATGTCCCAGATGGCAGCCTCCTTTAAGAGAGGCTGTTTAAGGAGGACTTTGCGCCTGACTACAAAAGAAATAGCATTTGATTTGTGTGTGTATGTGTGCATATCTAATATATGTGTCTATATAGTATATGTGTTTGTGTATATGTGCATACATACATGTACATGTATGTAAACATATAGAGATGTGTATGTATATATGATATGTGTATATATATACTATACACTTGTCCTGTGTATATATATGCATTCTACATATAAATATATTTTAAATATATTGAATATATAAATATTATATAGTTAAAATATATTGAATATATAAACATTATATATTTAAGTATATTGAATATATAAATATTGTCTATTTAAATATATCAAATATATAAATATATTTGAATATATTGAATATATAAATGTGGTGTATTTAAATATATTGAATATGTAAGTATTATATTTAAATATATTGAATATATAAATACGATGTGTTTAAATATAGATTGAATATATAAATATTATATATTTAGATACATCGAATATATAAATATTATATATTTAAATGTCTATTGAATATATAAATATTATATATTTGAATGCATATTGAATATATAAATATTATATATTTAAATATCTATTGAACTCAGGGGGACCAGAGTTCAAATCCAATGTCAGACACTTACTAGCTGTGTGACCTTCGACAAGTCACTTCACCCTGTTTGCCTCAGTTTCCTCATCTGTCAAATGAGCTGGAGAAGGAAATGACAAACCACCCCAGTACCTCTGCCAAGAACACTCCAGTATATATACGCACATATCTACATAAATATCTTTATGTTTAGACTAGACAAGGATTTAATTGGTATAGTGAATTCCCAGTGAGGAAAGTTTCTTCACCAATGCAGATCACCACCTTCTTTGCCAATTATATTCTTAGAGGGATGATTAGAGCAGCAGCACGAGGGTGTGAAGTGCGCTGGCCAGGGTCACACAGCCAGGACATGTCAGAGGTGAGACTTAAACTCAGGTCTCCCTGACTCCAAAACCAGCTGTCTGTCCGTCATATCAGGCTGCCTCTTGTGCTTGCATGTACAGGGTAGCAAATGGAGATTAAAAGGTGGAAATAACTATTTTGTCAGCTATAAGCTTAATTTTTTTTCTCCCAGTCCACACCAGCGTTGTCAAACTCAGTGCCAGTTGGAGGTCTAAGCCAGATTAAAATGTAATTGGGAGATGTTTAACAAAATAAGTAAAAACACAGTACAATTGATAACGTTAATTTGTGCCATGGATACTTCCTAGCTGAGTGATTCTGGGCCAGTGACTCAGGTTTATCAGATGTAAAATGGGGGTGATAATCTGGGGCGCCCCCAATTTAAAAGGTCATAAGGAGGTTCAAATGATGCAAATAATCTCTGTGAAGTGCTTTGTAGACCTTCAGTCTAGAGAAATGCCCCCTACTATTCTGAACGACAGTAATAATCACTCTGCATCTCAGTTTCCTCATCTGTAAATGGGGTCAATGATACTTTATAGCTCCTTCCTCACTGGGCTGTTATGAATCTCACATGAGATAATGAAGGTAAAGTTCTTTGAAGCCCTTAAAGCACTATAGAAATGTCAGCCATTTATTAATTTGATTAGGGATAATAATCATCCCTTAACCTCAGTCTCCTCATCTGTATAATGGGGATAATAATAACACCTACCTAACAGGCTGAAACACTCAAATGGAATGTGAGCTATTTATTCATTAGTATCTTCATCTTCAATCCGAGTCTCAGTTTCCTCATCTTTGAAATGGGAATTTTACTGTTCGTGGTACTGATCTGACCAAGGTGTTGTTTGTGTAAAACCTTTACTAGACATTATAGCGCCCTCTAGGCGTTAGCTGCTTTATCACGGCCATTATTATCTGGCTGCTGAAGCTCCCTTGCTGTTTTAAAGAGCTCCTCCAGGGTACTCATTATTACCTTATTGTCTCCGGGGGCCCAGAAGAGGAAATATATTTAAATTAGGATGCATTGCAAATAAAACACCAAGTTACTCCCCTGGTAACTCAGATTTGTAATAGTATTAAACCTTATTCCCTCGCTGACCCCCTCCTTCCCATTTTTCTATTTTCACCTCCTAATTAGGTTAGGGGTTCTTAACCTGGGGCCTATGTATAGATTTCAAGGGGTCCCTGAACTTGGATGGGAACATTTTCATTTATCTCTAACTGAAATTAAGAGTTACTAGCTGTGAGAGGCTGGGGAAGCCTCGGTTTCCTCATTTGTAAAAAAAAAAAAAATGAGATAGTGTTATTATGATGCCTACTTTACAGGTGAGGAAACTGAGGCAAACAGGAGTTAAATGACTTGCCTAAAGTTACACAGGCAGAAAGTATCAGAAGCAGGATTTGAACCCAAATCCTCCGACTCCAGAGTCAGGGATCTTGTCACTGTGCCCATTGTGTGGTTGAAGCAATGTGGCCCAGGAGAACACAGCCTCTGGAGTCAGTGTTCCCATCTCTGATGCGTCCCACCTGGGTGAACTTGAGCAACTCCCTTCCCCTCGCTGGGCCTCAGTTTCCTCATGGGTAAAAGGACGGGGTTGGATTAGATGCCGCATACTCAGACAAAAAAGCAGGCCAGGGACTGCACCCACTCCCTCCGCTTGCACATCAGCTTGGGCTGGGGAAGGAATGAGATCTGGGGGAGGAAGGAGTGGGAGATGGTATGTGGCTCATTTAAGGAGCAGGATGGAAAGGGGATGAATGGTGACGGCTTGCTGGCAATAAACAGTGACTCTCACTCCCTTCTGTCCTCAAATGTCCTCCGATGCTTACTTAGCATTTTTCCCACCTGAAATCAGAGTTTGAACTCAAAACACATGAGATGGGAGCCAAGTGGGTGAGGGAGCCTCGTGACAGGGAGTAGGAAGAGCTCTGGATTTGGAGTGCGAGGACTCTGCCTTGTGTGACCTTGGACCAGTCACTTCCTGTTTCCTCAGTTTCCTACTTTGAATAATAATAATAATAATAACAACTAGCATTTACATTGTATCTTAAGGTTTGTAAAGCACTTTGTAAATATCATATTTGATCCTCACAGGTGGGGGAGGAGGGGTAGCTGCTATTATTATCTCCATTTTACAGATGAGGAAACAGAGGCAGATAGAGGTAGAATGACTTGCCCAGGGTCACACAGCTTGCGAGTGTGTGAAGCGAGATTTGAACTCAGGTTGGCTTGAGTCCAGGTCCAGAGCTACATTGCCCCCTAGCTGCCTCCTAGCTAATGAGGAGGTTGGACTGGATAATCTCTAGGTCTTAGCTCAAAGTCTTGTGATGTTAGACATGCTTTATTCCACCCTCCCCTCCTCCAGATAAAATTTAAGTTCCTTGACAGCAGGTAGTGATTTGCTTTTATCTTTAGGTGCCTGGAACACAAAAATGTTCCTGGTGCTTTAAAAAACATTGATTGACTGATTGATTGACCTTTGACTTGCCCAAAATCGCACAGATTCTTAGCAGAAAATCAAAACCCAGATCAGCTGATTTATTTGCAAAATGAATAATGGAGGGGGACGTATAGGGAAACATGAGGAAATGAGGGAAATAAGGCCTGGTCTGCCTCCCTCACACAGATGTTATGATGGTCGAGTGAAACAGTGGAGGTGAAAGGACTTTCAAAATTGTAAATTACAGATGACAGAGACAGCGTGGCAGAGTCCAGAGAGTGTTAGATATGGAAGGGAAAACCTCAGCTCAAATACCTCATTTGGATACTAGCTGCGTGACCGTGGACAAGTCACAGCCTTCTAGCCTCAGTTTCTTAGTTTCTGGGCATTGGGCTGGATACCTCTAAGGTCTCTTGAAGCCCCAAATCTTTGATCCTAAATGACAACACCCACTGTGCCCCGAGCGTGTGGCACTGTAGGAAGAGATTCCTCCAGAGGGCCTGCGTCCAAAGCCCAGCTCAGACACTTACTGCCCATGTGACCATGGGCAAGTCACTACACGTTTTATCTGTAAAATCAGCGAGGCAGGAGGCATACAGTGGAAAGAGGTGGAGGAATGGAGGTCAGATCCTGCCTCTGAAGCTCCCTTCCCCTGTGACTGTGACTAATTAGCAAGGGAGGGTCCCTGAAGGCTGGGATTGTTTTGTCTGGGTCTTTAAATCCCCTGCCTAACACATGGTAGGTGCTCAGTAAGTGCTTGTCGGATGGATGGATGGATGGATGGATGGATGGATGGATGGATAAGTGAGTAAAGGAATGAATGAATGAAGTGGGACATGAACCCAGGTCCCTTTAAATACAGCATCCCTCTCTCCTACTAGCCTGAGCCCAAACGTGAGAACTGAATTAAATACATGTGGAAAAATGCTTCTTTGGATGTGTTCTATTTTAGGGGGATCACCCTGCAGGCCGAAAGCAAAAAGGAAAATGAGGAGGTAAAGCCTTTTGTCCCTTTGAGCCGCTTTCCCCGTGGGAGCATCAATTCAGAAACTCACTGTGCTTCCTTGTCCTTTGCAGTGGATATGTGCCATCAACAACATCTCCAGGCAGATCTACCTAACCGACAACCCTGAGGTAAGCCCGGGTGGGAGGTGTGGGCACTTAGCACAGTGCCTGGCCCATAGTAGGTGCTTTAGAAATGTGATTGATTGATTGGTTGATTGTCAGCCCTCTGTCTCAGGCAGTGAAGGGTCAGAGCCCAGGCTCTCCCAGGGCTGAGTTTGTGGTTCTGTTTCATCTCTCACCAGGAATATTGCAGTGACCTCAAGTCTCCTCCCTCTCCCACCCAGCCTCCACATAGCGGCCAAAATCATTTTCCTACAACCCAAGTCTGACCATGCTCAGTAAACTCCACTGGCTTCCTGTCCCCTCTAATTTAAATATAAACTCCCCTTTGGACATTAAAAACCCTTCACAACCTGGCCCCAACCTACCTTGACAGCCTTAATACACATCAACCCTTCAGTCTAACAAAACTGCCCTCTTGGCGGTCCTCATCCGCCATACTGTGTTTCCTACTGCCATGTATTTGCACTGGTCGGGTCAGTATTTGCTCCTCACTGCCATCTCTCAGAATCCTCAGTTTTCATTCTAGTCCCATCTTTAGTGCCACCTTCTCTCTGAAGCCTGTCCCGATTTACCCAGATTTTCCCCCAAACAGTCTTACATCAATTGTGTATATAATAGCTCTTATTTGTTACATAGCTATAGCTATAGCTGACACAGAAAGCCCTTTGAGGTTTATAAAGCACATTTGACTCTCACCAGAGTCCTGTGAGGTCGGTGTTATATCAACCTCATTTTACAGATGAGGAAACTGAGGCTCAGAGACTTGGCCCACAAGCATCTGAGGCAGGATTTGAACTCAGACTTTCTTGACTCCAGGACCACCACCTAGTTGTCCATGTGCGTACGTGTTGTTTTCCCTAGCTAGACTGTAAGCTCTTTGAGGGCAGGGCCTTTTTTGTGTTTTTCCTTGTATCTCCCAGTGCCCGGCATATGGGCATTTACTATATGCTTTCTGATTGATCACTAGATTGATTGATTGATCCCTTCCAGGCCGTGGCCATCAAGTTGAACCAGACAGCCCTCCAGGCAGTGACGCCAATCACAAGCTTTGGAAAAAAACAGGACCCCTCACGACCAAGGTAATTTGCCATCCTGGACAAGAGGAACTGTTTTTATTTTTGTCTTCACATCCCCCAAACCTAGCATACTATTTAGTATAAAGTAGGTGCTTCATAAATACCTATTGGTTACTACCAGACTGCCAAGGGGTGCAGCGGTGAGTAGCAGGCTGGACCTGGAGTCAGGAAGATTTGAGTTAAATCTGGCCTCCGAGAGTAGCTGTGTGGCCCTGGGCAAGTCACTTAACCTCTGTGTGACTCAGTTTCTTCAACTGCAAAATGAGGTAGAAGTAGCACCTACCTCCCAGGGTTGTTGTGAGGATCAAATGAGATCATGTTTGTGAAAGCACTTAGCACAGTGCCTGGCACATAGTAGGTGCTCTACAAGCATTATCATCATTAGTTTTCAAGTGTGAAGGCCCTTTCTGAATGGCTGATTAGTTTCCACTGACGGAGAAAACACATGACAAAATCTCTCATGATTCAGTGACACTGTTAAATGAATTTGTGTTGCATTTGTTACAAAAAAAAATCTACTTATATTAAAAAAAAAAGAGCCACACAGAAGTGTGTAAACTACATTCTGTCTTCAGTGTACAGACTTAGTATTTGCTTATTTATGCATTCACACATGGATTCAAGGCCCCCTTGCAAAAACTCTGTGAGTCACAGTCTGGAAACCACTGATGTCATGGAAAAAGCAAAAACTATACTAAGAAAATTTATGCACTTTAGTAACAGGATAGATAGATAGAGAGAGATGGATAGATAGACAGGCAGATAAGCAGGCAGATAGGCAGGCAGACAGACAGACACGCAGAAGAGAGACAGAGAGATAGAGAGATAGACAGAGGAGACATGGACAGGCAGATAGATGAGAGAGAGATGAATAGATAGGCAGACAGACAGGAGACAGACAGATAGATAGACTGATTGATTTTGTTGTTCAGTTGTTTTTCAGTCATGTCTGACCCTTTGTGACTCCATTTGGGGTTTTCTTTTTTTTTGCCAAAATACTGTAGTGTTATGCCGTACGTGTGTGTGTATGTATATGAACAGGTAAATGAATAATAATATCTAACATTTCCATAGCACTTTTAAGGTTTGCAAAGTGTTTTATAAATATTATCTCACTTTATCCTCACAACAGCTCTACAAGGTCAGAGCAATTAGTAGCTCCATTTTACAGGGAAGGAAACCAAAGCAGATAGTGATTAAGTGACTTGCCCAGGGTCACACAGCTAGCAAGTATCTGAGGCTGGATCTGAACTCAGGTCTTCCTGACTCCGGCCTCAGTGCTCTATCCACTGTGCCATCTGGCAGATGCTAATGCTGCATCTTTAATGTCATTTCCACCAATAAAACCATACCTGTTTCTGCGATTGAACCAGTTGACAGTGCCCAGGACTTGGGTGGTGAGAAGATTGCTTTCCAAGTCTTCCAGTAGCTTTGGCTGCTGAGATGGTGGGGGCGGCAGCACCTGCCGAGGAACCTGCCACGTCTCAAAGGTTAGTTCCCTGATGATGACTAAAGGGGCAGTGCTGGAATTCTCAGTAGGCACTAGGGAGCTATTGAATGTTATTGATCCAGGAAGTAGTATTAACAAAGGTGGTATCTTAGGACACTTGATCTGGTCAGGGTACAATCATTTTATTCAGATGTTCTGTGTTTGGTATTTTGAACGATAATGCCTTTTCACCTGTGGCTCCCCAGTGGAACGTGTTTGATTTGTTTTCCTTTTCTTTTTTGTAACCCAGCCAGAACCGGAAGCATTCAGGTTCAGAAAATGACAAGATGGTCCCTAACACACCAGCTAAAGTCTCTGATGCCGACCAGTTAATTGTACCCGGAACCCCTATTCAATTTGATATCGTCCTTCCTGCTACTGAATTCCTCGATCAGAATCGAAGTGGAAGGTAGGGAGTGAGACTCTGACTTTGTGAAAAGTGATGTGGGATGGAGGGATGGGGAGAGAAGAAGGGATTTCACGGGGAGAGCTGGAGGGTAATGTCAAGACGATATACATTATACAATATGCAATATGCATTTCAAGCATCTTTCTAGCCAGCCTCCTTCTAAGGCAGCTAGGTGGAGAGCCCTGGACTTGGAGTCAGGAAGACCTGAGTTTGAATCTAGCCTTAGATACTCACTCAGACCCTGGGCAAGTCACTTACTTAGCCTCTGTCTCAGTTTCCCCATCTGTAAAATAAGGATAATAATAATGCCCAAGGTTGTTTTGAGAATAAAATTTGTAAAGCATTTAGCATACTGCCTAGCACATAGTAGGTGCTTAATAAATGCTTGTTAAAAAAAAATCCAACCTCAGACACTTACTAGCTGTGTGACCCTGGGTAAGTCATTAACCCTGTCTGCCTCTGTGTTCTCGTCTCTAAAATGACGATAACAGCAGCACCTACTCCCTAGGTACTTGTAAAGTGCTCGCAAACCTAAAGTGTTCTATAAATACCAGTCATTCTTGTTACTAACTGTATACCTCTGCTTTTTCCTTTTCTCCCTTTTTCTTCCCTGTCCAGGCGTACAAACCCATTTGGTGAATCTGCAGATGAAAAGCAGCCTGACGAGGAGGGTCAGTATCTGGTCTGGTGACTCTTTTTGTCCAGTGCAAGTTAACTTGGGCTTGAGATGTGATTATGTGTCCCCAAAGCCACTCCGGCAGCTGGTGCAGTGGCCTGAATGCAGGAGATCAGGCAGGGCCTTCCTACAGCTTCTCTCTGGGGCACCCTACGTGCCAGCTGTGTCCAAGGCATTGTGAGTGGACAGTGACACCAGGCAAGGACACGTGGTCTCTGCCTTCACAGAGCTTCTAATCTGTCCTCAGTTTATTGAGAAGATGATGTTTAAAGGTGATTGAAACTCATTTCTTAAATGTGTCAACTGAACTGGGATAGAACTTAGAACACCAGGTATCAGAGATAGGAGTTAACTTAGAACCCAAATGTCAGAGCTGGGAAGAAACTTAGAACACTGAATGTCAGAGCTGGGATGGAACTTAGAACACCACATGTCAGAGATAGGAGTTAACTTAGAACCCAAATGTCAGAGCTGGGAAAAAACTTAGAACACCAAATGTCAGAGCTGGGAAGGAACTTAGAACATAAAATGTCAGAGCTGAGAAGGAACTTGGAACAGAAAATGTCACAGTTGTGAAAGAACTTAGAACACTGAATGTCAGAGCTGGAAGGATCCTTAGAAATCCTCTGGTGCAACTATTTTCCACACAGGTTTCTTTCCGGTTTTTCTATTAGCTAATAAATGTTATACCAAGTTCACAAGTAAAGGAAAAGTGATACCATGCCGGTGTCTGGCCGGAGGGAGAGGCTTATATGTCCCCAGCGGCATCTTAGGGCCCCTAATAACAGGGGTGAGGGAGATGGGTGGAAAGTGTTCCAGGGGAAGGAGGCTGAAACCGTAGGATCCTCAGATCATGCTTGCTGACGTGTCTGAAGAAGTGTCTAACAGAGGAAAACGTGTGTTACCCAAAAGGGTGACATTTAAAAGGCCACTTGGGCCACAGACACAAAGCCTACGTGACCTTGAGTAGAAACTGTTTTTCCCTTTACAGATTCACTGTTGCAGCAGATGTTCATAGTTCGGTTTTTAGGATCCATGGCTGTCAAAACCGACAGCACTAGCGAGGTGATTTATGAGGCCATGAGACAAGTGTTGGCTGCCCGTGCAATCCATAACATCTTCCGCATGACAGAATCTCATCTGATGGTCACCAGCAAAACTCTGAGGTATGCTTGTACGATTAGTCTGGTTCTGGATGTCAAAGGACAGAACCAGGGTCGCACCCACTCTCACCTAGCTCTGGGGTTTAATGGTAGCATGACATCCCCACATTGGACACAGAAGGGATACAAGGAGACATCTGCTTCTGACTTCTTACCACCCTTGGCTTCCAGTCTTGGTAAAGGAAGTTACACATGTAACTTCAACCCAGGCAATCAGTTCTGTCTATTCTGTAGACCAATCTGATTGGCTTATGTAAGTTGGGATTCGTGTAACTTTGTGTAGACAAAAGGAGCTGGAACCTTATAAATGTACCAATCTTGGGGTAGCTAGGTGACCCGGGGGATAAAGTGCCAGGCCTAGAATTAGGAAGACTCATCTTCCTGAGTTCAAATATAGCCTCAGACACTTGCTAGCTGTGACCCTGACTGTCACTTAACCCTGTTTGCCTCAGTTCCCTCATCTGTAAAATGAGCTGGAGAAGGAAATGGCAAACCACTCCAGCATCTCTGCCCCAGCATCTGGGGTTTTCTTACCCCAAATGGCATCACAGAGTTGGACACAACTGAAGCAAGTAGACAACAACAAGGCTTTAACATGGTGCCAATCAACACAGTAGATACTTGGAAAATGTATGTTGGGAACCATAGGCTTAACCACAGGCCTTCTATAAATTTTATTTTTTTAATTAATAAAAATCTATTTTTTCTCCCTCTCATCTTCTCTCACTCTACCCCTGCCATTGATTTAAAAAAGAAAAACCAAACCCTTGTAACAAATAGAGTCAAGAAAATAAAGTTCCCCAATGTCCATGTCCAGAAATTAGATCCCATCCTTCATCCTGAGTCTACCACCTGTCTGTCAGCAGGTGGGTGGCATTTTTCATCATCGGTTCTCCTGCATCATAGCTGGTCATTACATCGATCAGAGTTCTTAAGTTTTTCAAAGTTGTTTATTTTGCAGTGTTGTTATATTTATATGAGTTATTCTCATGGTTCCAATCACTTTACATCTATTCATGCAAGTCTTCCCAGATTTCACTGAAACCACCCCTTTGATCACTTCTTACAGCATAATAGCATTCCACTCACATGCCACTTTGTTTTCCAGGTGATGGGCACCTCTATGGTTGCCAATCTCAATTTTCCAGTGTAAAAAGAGCTGTGAAGGGGCTCCTACCTGGGATCTGTCAACCTGACTTTTAAAAAATACCTTGATAATTGCATTTCATTATCATTGGTTTTCTCTGCAGTCGTATTCATTTTATTTTATTAAGTATCATGTGATTCTGAGAATGGGTCCTCAAGCTGCCAAAGGATCTGTGACACCAAAAAAGGTTAAAGAGCCCCAGTCTTAGAGCTGTGAGCTTTTCTGAGAACATAACTTTCTCCTTGTCATTTCTGCCATGTCCTTTTCACCTTCCAGGCTGATCGACCCTCAAACCCAAGTCACAAGGGCCAGCGTAAGTATTCTGCATGCATTCTTACATCCGATGTTTCTGGTCATCACCCATCTCGGTCGAGGTTGGCTTTGTCTTTTTTGTGTGATTTGTTAAGTTCCATGAAATCCAATCTCTTCTCTGTGTTTTCAGTTTGAACTCACCAGTGTCACACAGTTTGCGGCCCACCAAGAAAATAAGAGATTAGTTGGTTTCATTGTGCGTGTTCCGGAGTCTGCTGGAGAAGAATCCCTGAGCGCATATGTGTTTGAGAGCAACACAGAGGGAGAAAAGGTCGTGATAGCTTTCTATTTTGATTCTGTCCTAACTGCCCCCCCATCTCCATAGAGAGAGAATGTTTTTATTTTAAAATTTTATTTTTTTATTTTAAAACAATTTTTAACATTTTTTTGAGTCCAAATTCTCTCCATTCCTCCCCTCTCTCCTCTTTGAGAAGGCAAGCAATTTGATATAGATTGTACATAACTTCTATACCCTCTACCTCATGGAGGAAAAAAGACCCCTGTCTTTTATATTGGGTCCTTGATTTTCCCAACAAGATTTCAAACCCTTCCCCACCCCCCAAATGGAGGGGTTTGACATCCCCCACCAAACGTGTCCTTCCACCCTACCTCCACCCCTTTTTTCTCATCTGGACCAATGATTTCAATGGCGTAGGGAACTCCCAGTGAGAAAATTCCCTCTATGGAAACAGGCTAGCAACTTTATGGTTTTGCGGTTTCCTGGGACACTTAGGTAAGTGACTTTCCCAGAGTCACAAAGCTACTCTGTGTTAGGGGCAAGATTTGAAGCCAGGTCTTCCTGACTCCAAGACCTGCTGGCTCTCTATCGACCAAGCTAGTAGTGTTGAACTCAAATAGAAGGGGATCCCTGAACACCGCAATTTAACATTATCTGAGTTGTATTCTGTTTTTATTTATTTTGTTAAACATTTCCCAATTACCTTTTTGGGGGGAGGTAGTTGGGGTTAAGTGCCTTGCCCAGGGTCACACAGCTAGTAAGTATCTGAGGACGGATTGGAACTCAGGACTGGTGCTCTATCCACTGTGCTGCTTAGCTGCTCTTTCCCAATTGCATTTTAATCTGGTTCAGGAGCCCCGGGGAGTGCTGTGGGCAGGCCTCATGTGCTGTCTCCTATGTTGTTGTTGTCTGTCCTTCATTCAAAGACCTGGGGTAGAGCCTAATTCCCACAAGCATCTTGCCTTATTTTTGGCTATTTTTAAAACAGGTTCTAGCCTTGGTCATTGCAATTAAAAAAAATGCATCCTAACAGTAGTTGCCATTTCTAAAATGTTTCCGAAGGCTTTCCTCAGAACCCTGTGAGGCAGATGGTATGATATCCCCACTTTAAAAATAATAAAAACTTAAGAGCTGAGGCTCCAAACTTCTCAAAGAACCTGTTCAATTTCTTTAACAAAAAGTAAAAGGACTACACAAACATAATATTTATCAGTGTGGTGATAATGAACAGAGAACTGGTTCAGAATAAGGAAGACCTGGGTTCCAGGTTATGCCCCTGACACATACTGGCTGTGGCACCCTGGGAATGTCACTTAACTTTTCAGTACTCAAGACTAGAAGAGGTGCCACCCTGCATCAGTAGAGGGAATTTCCTCATCTGGAAGTTCCCTATACCAAAGAAATCACATGCCCAGTTCCTATCCCATATTAAATGCACATACCCCAATTAGATTTTCATTAATTTCATAAATATTTTATTTGAGGCAGCCAGGTTGCATGGTGGTGGTGGGTAACTTGCTGGACCTTGAGTCAGGAAGACCTGAATTTAAATCTGACCTCTGACACTAGCTGTGTGACCTTGGGCAAGTCACTAAACCAGAGTTTCCTCAACAGCAAAGTGGGGTAATAATAGCACTTCCCTCCTATGATTGTAACAGTCAAATGAATTAATATCTGTAAAGTACTTTGCAATCTTAAATCTAGAAATACTAGTTATCATCATTATGATTGTTATCTCTTGGTTTGTACCTCACCCTTAGTCCCATAAGCATTTATTAAGCCCCTGTCATGTGCACAGCGCTGTCCCAGGTACTGGGGAAGATGCAGCTTTTAGGTGAGACACAGTCCCACACTTCCAGGCACTCACGTGTTCATAGCAATCTGGTTGTGATATCAGCACAGACAAGTGAAGAGTATTGTAGTTAAAAAATACTGGGTCCAAGGAAGCTGGAAGAGGAGAGATCAGGATGGGACTCCTGGAGGAGATGGCATTTGAAATAGGATTTAAAGGAAGAAGGAACAAGCATTTATTAAGCACCTACTATGTGTCAGGTGCTGCAGTGGATAGAGTGCCAGTCAGGAAAACCTGAGCTCAAATTCTGCCTCAGACACTCACTAGTAAGTTGCTTAATCCTGTTTGCCTCAGTTTCCCCATCTGTAAAATGAGCTGGAGCAGGAAACAGCAAACCACTGCAGTATCTTTGCCAAGAAAACCTCAAATGGGGTCACAAAGAGTTGGACACAACTGAAAAGACAGCACGTGCCAAGCACAGGGCTTGCTAAACCCTTTACAAACCTTAAAGGAATGGGTAAGGCAAATGAGGCTGGAGTCAACTTGTTGGGGAAAATGAATGAGGAAGAGGCCAGCCTCTAACAGAGAGGTTTTGGAGTCTTTGTTCATCAACAGTCTAGAGTTTGGGGTGCCTCTGTTTATTGTTACAAAATCAATTTATCAACAACTCCCAGCCTGCACTGTGCACGAAGGAGCAGTCAGAGAATCTGTTTAGGTCAGGTGGGAAGACAGACCATCTGACAGGAAGTCATACAGTCTTGGATTCTGAGCTGGTCATCTAGTCCAGCCCCCTTCATTTTACAGATAAGGAAACTGAGGCCCAGGGAGAGTAAATGACTTAGGGTCCTAGGATCCTAGATCGAGAGTGGCCCACAGAGGCCACCTAGGAGTGGTTTTACATTTGAGGAAACTGAGGCCCAGAGTTACAAGTGACTTACCTCAGAACACAGAGGAAGTAAGCTGCAGGGCTACAATTCAAAAATAGAGCCACCGATTCCAAGCTCAATGTTCACTATTTAGACCAGAGAAAAATGACCTACTGTGGAAGAGTAGGAATTGTTCTCCAGGGTTCTTCCAAAGACCATCAGCTCTTCCTTTACCTACGAGGCAAGGCTACCTACAGGCACAAAGCTGGGGTCAATTAATTCCTGTTGCTCCCATTTTTGTTGTTCAATCATGTCCGACTCTTTATGACCCCATTTGGGGTCGTCTTGGCAAAGATACTGGAGTGGTCAGACATTTCCTTCTCTGGCTCACTTTACGGATGAGGAAACTGAGTTAACAAAGTTAAGTGACTTGCCCAGGGTCACAGCTAGTGAGTGTCTGAGGCTGGATTTGAATTCGGGCCTTCCTGACTCCAGGCTGGCCATTCTATCCACTGCGCCACTTAGTTCCCATTACCACAATGCTAATTTCCTACACCCCAGGCTTCCATTCCCATGGTCCTCCACTCATATACCCTACCTTGCAAATCAAGGAAAATGATATACTTTCCTAAAATTTAATGTGCTTTCCATTGGACTTTCCCAAACCTCTAATTTTCTTTTTTCTACAGATCTGTTATGCTATTAGCTTGGGGAAAGAAATTATCGAGGCTCAGAAGGTAAGAGGTTTTTGAGTTGTAATTTATCATCCAAACCAGCATTTTTCTAAAGTACGCTTGCAACAAAATCCAAATTCGCTCCAATGAATAAAATGAAAATAGCACGGCTGATTTTGGTGGGGGTGTAGTTAAGGGGAGGAAAGAGCTTTTTCTCATACTACCCAAGTATCACTATGGAGGACAGACAGACACACACACACACACACACACACACACACACACACACACACCAAACCTGTCCATTGTTATCAGTTGTGCATCACTTAATGAGATGTCACCTCTACACTTGGTTGGAGCTACAATGAATTACATGCCTGAACTTAAAAGCCCCCTCATGTGCTACATCATTCATTCATTCATTGTTCAACAAAGCATTTACTAAGTGCCTACTATGTTCTAAGGCACTGTGAGAGATGCTACGGATACAGAGATGGAAAATTTCCTCAGGGATTGGCCAGTATAATGGGGGGAAGGATACACAGGCCAGAGGCAGAAATAACATGTACCCAAGTAAGTCCTATAAGAAATATGAAGAGAGAGCGCATTTTATTCATTATATGGTATAGACTGAGTGTTAATTAAAGGGATCCATGGAAGACAAAAAGTTAAGGAGAGTCAGAAGAGTTCAAGAAAACTTCATGGAAGAGATGACCGATGAAGGAGGGGGAAATTTTAGACCACAGATTTACAAATGGAATGAATTAATAAGTATTTTTTCAGAGCTTGCCATATGCCAGGTACTGGAGTAAAGACAAAAACTAAACAGTTCCTGCCCTCATGGAGCTTAGAGTCCATCAGTGGATATAACAGGAGCATAAACAAATAAAATGCAGAGTCATTGGGAGGAGGCGCTAACACCTGGAGGGCTGAGGGTCTCCTCTGGGAGAGCTTGGGCTGAGCTTGCAGGACCATTAGGGATTCTGAGATGCAGAAATGAGGAAGGAGCACATTCCAAGCATCAGGAAGGACCATCTATGCAAAGGCCCCCAAATAGGAGATGGAATGTGTATGTGGTACAGCAAGTAGGCTGGTTAAGCTGGACCATTAAAATGCATGCAGAGCAGTAAAAGAAGCTTGGAAGGTCAGCAGGGGCCGACGGCTTTTGTGCCTTCCTATTCTAGAGGGGCAGGGGAATGACACGGTGAGATAGTGCCCTGGGAACATCACTCTGGCCCCTGTGTAGAACACAGATTGAAGAGGAAAGAAATTTGAGGCAAGACCAAGGAGGATGCTATCTATCATCCTAGTCCAGTGAGAGACAATGCAGACCCACTTTAGAATGGAGCCCATGTGAGTAGAGAGGTTTGGGGGGTAGAGTCAACAAGACTTCCCAGATGTCTGGATATGTGGAGTGAAAGTTGAGGATATGGTCACTTGGGGGACTAGTAGTATAACGATGTCCTTTACACACACAGGAAATGTAAGAGGAGGGGTGGGTTTAAAGGGAAAAATGATGAGCCTTTTTGGACCTGCTGAGCTTAAGGGGCCTGTGGGACATCCCACAGAACCAGTTGATGCTGTAGGAAAAATACTAGGGACAGATATCAGCCTCTAGGAGTTGTCTGCATAGATCACTGGACTTATGGTGGCTGATGCTGGGGTACACCCCCCAGTTAGGTAGACACTCCAGAATGGACCTCAGAGGCCATCTGGTCCAGTCTCCTCGTTTTGCTGAGGTCTAGAGAGGTTAAGTGATAAGCACACCCCTCTTCTCCTGTGCACCCTGCCTTGTTATGTGTTTTCTTCACCCCTCGCTGTAGGACCCAGAAGCACTGGCTCAGCTCATGCTCTCCATGCCATTGACCAGCAATGGGAAGTTTGTGTTACTCAATGACCAGCCAGACAGTGAAGATGGAAACCCAAACGAAAGTAAAGGAGCTGAGTCTGAAGCATAAGCTCATTTCTGCTGGTGGGGAAGACACTGGGGAGCCCTCTTGACAGGGTTCTCGGTGTTTCTCGCTGCTGGCCAGTTTCTGAATTCTGACAATCACGGGCAGAATGTTTCATCCCAGCCTTGGTACCATAAGACCGAGAAGGGACAACTGTAAGGAACAGTTGATGATGTCTCATTTCTGCTAAGGTTAAAATATTTTAGGTACCTTATAGCAAAATCCTTTTCCTTGTTTGCATCATTTAGTTCTGAATGAAGGTTGAGGGAAAAAAAATGCACTGTTCGCTTTTTTAAATGAAGTCAACTCTGTCCCCTCGGTTCCTAGTGTCCTTTCTAAGTGTGGCAGTAGCCTAGATTTACAGTTTGATAAACACTAAATGTTTCCTATTAATATAATCTATTTTTGTACTTCACCTAATAAGCTTCAAGTGCCTCTCATTCTTACATGACCATTCTGTAAAGAAACACATTTACAGGGCCGCCATCCTTGGACTCCTGGACTTGAGAGTTTTGTCCTGCAGGTGGGCAGAATGCACAGTTTAGCTGCCTGAGATGTAGGGTCAAGCCTGGCTTCGGACGGCCATCCTACACATGGATCATGCAATAAAAACTTCAGCACAAGAAGACGTACGATTTTGCAATGAAACGAAATGCAACCAGCACCCAGACGCCCTGGAACGAGTGGCAGGCCTTTTTCCGTGATGATTCATGTGCTGCTCCCCAGATCCTCATTTCTGCTGAGCCAGACCTGTCCCAGGGAAGGGACCAATTGTTTCTAAAGTGGACTGAGCCACAACCAGGAAAGGCTGGAATTCAAAGCCCAGTTTACCCACCCTCCCCAGCCCCATGCACCAACTTAATATCCTTCCTACTGATACCCTAACCAGATCTTTTGATGGAGCCAAGCATCTTCCTCAGTTGGATTTCTAGTCTGCCTCTGGGCCCTGTAATCCTCCCCCTTCCATGAAATAAGCAGACAGAAATGATGATCTTGAACTGGTGTGGCTGACAGTGACAGAGTCTGACAATTCACAGCTGTCTTTGTTATTGAATTAGTCTAGCAATAAATGCTAGAAAATAAAAAAAGTCTGCATCATTCTGCTTCTTCTCATTATTTGCTAACAGTTCGTCTTGGATTCTACAGCTTGTTTCCTAAAAAAAGAAAACGTCAAAGTCTCGAGTTCCCGTTAGACTTTCATTCTGCCTTAGACTGATGAGGGAAAGGTGCTTAACCATAAATTGATGTTTGATTGTAGTAAAAAAAAAAAAAAAAAATGCCTCAGCTTTAGAATGCCGTCTTCACACAAAACATTTAATTCAAACTGACCCAATCACCGATAGCCTAGATGAAAGGCATGTCTGTAATGGACAACTCCCTCAGTCTCTCACAATACATTTATTCCCTAAGCAGGGGTGGGGAACCGGAGGACGTAGAGGGCCACATGTAGCTTCCAGACCGTAAGTTCCCCACCTCTGCTAGGGTTATCACCTTGAGTCAGTCAAGCAGCATTTATTAATCGCCTACTACATGCCAGGCACTATCCCAAGGGCTGCAGATACAAAGGCAAAACCCAGGCCCTGTTCTCAAGAAATTCAGTCTAATGGTGCAAAAAGCATGTAAACAAATATGTACAAAGATACACCAGGTGGCCCAATGGATAGAATGCTGGGCCTGGAATCAGGACGACTTGAATTGGTGAGGAATGAGCCATGGAAGTCTTAGAGTGGGGTTGAAGGGTGAGTTTCTTCACCGTTCTCTTAAAATAAACTGAAAATTTCCCTTAAGAGGGCCCAAGTTAATAAATTCGGGCGGGGGGGGGAAAGGCCCAAGTTAAGGTTAAAAGGGAAGAGTTCTTCCTGCCACCCATACATGGCTGAGCCAATTACAAAGGACTTATTCTCATGCGTGGCCGTATGCTCAAACCAATCCTAAGTCAAGACACTGTACTGCCTTTGTTTTTCATGTTTTCAATGACTTCCTATTGTTCGGGTAAACCATGGCAGAATTAACCCTGGAGGGATATAAACGAATGCCTATTTCTTCCTAAGATAATAGAGTTGGCACAGATTCTTCTGTTGTATCTCGGTTTAATCAATATCTTATCTATACATATTAATTGAGCAACAAGCAGTTTGGTAGCAACGTCTAAACGGACTCAGAATTTTGGTTTATCTTAGAAGGGAACGGAAGCAAGTACCTGCCCCACAGGTGCAGAGGACAGTCCACAGACACAACTGTCCTAAATGAAAAGAAGTGATAACAACAACAAAAAAAAAAAATAGCCCCAAACAGGAAATAATCCCAAAGCATTTTTTCGAAGTAAATCTGCTTCTCCAAGTCAGTGATTCACTCATCATGGACATTAATTTCCATTTATTGAATACATACCAACTATGCGGCTAAAAGTCTGCCAAGAAAGTCTGGGCACAAAAAGCTTCTAAGGCACGATCAGATGCTGAATGTACAAAAACTTAAGACAAAAAAACCAACCCCACAAAACCGCCCAGTGTTGGTTCAACATGACTTTATTTTTGTGGTCTGTGAGACAAGCATTTGTTTTTTATAAACCAAATCCCAACTGGACACAGCTGTTGTCATCAAGCCCCGCTCAGTGCCCGGCAGGCCCCCTTAACCTCTGGTGACATTTCCATCCATCTTCCTGAGGTCCACACTTCCATCTGGAGTCTCTGGAGATATCCAACACCCTAATGGAACGTTCCCCTCATTTGAAATTTCTTTGAATAAAATTGTAGAACCGAACCCGCTACATGACAAGGAAGACCATCTTGTCTGGGGGGCTTTTCAGGGTGGGGGGCAATGTGAAATAGGCAGACTTCCTACCATCTGCCAATGCAGCCACAGCTATCAGAGGAGAGGAAATACTGCCGGCAAAGTGACGTGGTCAGTACCTGAGCGCATGCACCAAAGGTCCTGTCACCTTGCTTTTCTGGCATTTCCCTCTGGAAGAAGGAAGAGCTAACTTCGTGGTCTCATCACACTGCTCTTCTCCACCCCGGCCTCTCCATCACGCTGAACCGTCTCTGGGCTGTGCTGCTGCTGGTCAGGCTCGGCTCTTGCTTTCAGGTAGCACCACAATCCCGTCAACATCTCTGACGATGCCAACTGGGTCATTATCACCTCCCATGACTAACGCAATCCAAAAACCCCAGGGGTTCTTTTTCACTTGAAAACAGCAAGCGGTGGAAGAGATGAACTTAGAAATGGTAGCAAGGAAGCTATGAGAACTTCATTAAAAATAAATCAGAAACTTTCTTATAGGACATTTAATTCTGAACATAAAAATTCAGGGGAAGGAAAATCATTAAATTTACTGACATGGTTTAATGTACAGAATGTATTTTGCTCCACAAAGGGGAGGGTGGAGGGGAAGAAGGCTGACAACAGAAATAAGGTTAACAAAATCCTAATTTTTTAACAAATAGAAGAGACAATGTTATACTTGGTCCTTAATTCCTGAGAATTTGATTATCTTTGTTATTAAAGAGCTTACAATGAGTGCTTACATTCATCCCTAAATTATAGTACATTAGAAAAATAGGAAGCTGTGGGAATCAACAAGGAAAGTTATTACTGTCTTAAAAGTCCAACGAACACGAACACACGTCTTCCTGTGGCTCTGCGGCCAAGCTACGGCATCCTCTCACCGGTCTGCTCCCACACGTGGATTCGTTAGCCCTCTACAGACCGGACAAAGCACTGTGAACAGTAATACCCAACCCTTCCCAATGGGAGGTAGCCAGGTAAGAACAGAGGTAAAAGTGTCGGCTTCACCTAGTAACAGGGAAGCCTTCAACTGACAACATGTTTGGTGGCCTCCACTGAAAGGCGGGAGCCCATTCTCCCTCCAATTACAATTAGTTGATATTAGACATCATACGTTGGTTTAAAGTTAGAACAGCAATCCTGTGGGGATTATTGCGAGGCAGTGACTAATTTGGTACAATTAAATGCAAGATCATTTAAGAACATTCAAAAATAAAAAGGCTGAATTATGCAGCGTGCTTTAGGGGCCATTTCTGCGGTTAGGATGAAGCATAAAATCAAGGAGTGAATGCTTTCAGGACATTACCAATCCACAATGCTATAAGGTCATGTTTAAAGAAGAAGCCAAACAATCCCACGTGGTATGCTTCCTTTGACTTTCAAACGAAATATGTTTACTCTGGAAGACCCACAAAGCATGGAAGGACACCACGCATGGCTTCCAAGAGGAGGAAGGCAAAAGACCAACCCTGGAGTAAATGACAGCATTTCTTGAAAGAAATATTAGGACAGGAAAATGCAATAGAAAAACAAGTCATTCCTGGATTTAAATTTGAATTACACTAAAAGTTAAATCCCTTTTTATTCTAAGTAATCTTTTTAATGCATTTTAATATGCTAAGATTGGCCTTTTAGTTGTTAATTGGTAAAACTTGACAAAAATAAAACTAGCAGCCGACCAACAGCCAATGATACTCAAAAGCCTCTGGAAGCTGGATTTCGGTTATTATATCTTATTCTCACAGTGGTTAGTTTTTCTTAGGCCTGCACAGTGCAAATATTATTTCATGAGAATCCACCTGGATTATAACCTGTTAAAAGAAAAGGTATTTCAAAGTTCCCTTGAATTCAGGCTTGATGTAAAAAGAAACCTGAGTGTGAATGTGGGAATAAGCCTTCATCTCCTATTCTGAGAGCTGTCCCACAGTGTCCTCAACCAGTCTCTGAAGAAGTTGGGCCCTCACTTTAATCTTCCTTAATTATGAGTACCAAGAAACAAACTTTCAATATTATCATTTAGTGTAGTGTGGTTTAAGTGTTTTCAGAGCGTGTAAACTGAGTGTACGACTCACAGCAGGCTTCCAGAGCTCCGGTATGTCACTAACGGATGATCCCAAACTGCCTCGAATGGGCGCCCACTGAACAATCCAGGCCGTACTGACGGTTTTATTCAAAGTCTCTTTACAGCGTCATATATGCCTTCAGAATTTGACCATTAATCTCTATATTTAAATAATATTTGCTAGATATGCACAGTATCTTTATTAAATTTTGTTGCCATAATAGCTGAAAATCTTTAACTGATTTAATGCAAATCATGAATCAACAGCCTATCAAAACACAAACTCCCAACATACACTGTGTGGATGCCAAGAGAGCTGCAGCTAGCAGAGCAGGAATTCAGATTTGCATTTCTATAACTTTAAACCATAACCATTCAAAAATAAGCATGTCATTTTGTAGGCTATTGTAGGCCAGAACCAATTTTTGAAAATTCTAAAATGAAAGTCTTTACAATGGACACAGCTGTAAAGCCTGGCCCCCAGAGAAGGCCTGTGACATTACACGTCTGCAGATAGGTTGGCCCGGTCAATAATCCATGTATCTCAAGGTTTCTAAGGTCCAAGCTACAACGGCCGGTGTAAACAATGCTGGTTACCTGATGCTCCCCAAGCCTAGCTTCAGAATCACTTCACCACAGGATCAGTGAGGGCAGAGCTGTTGCTGCTGGGCATGAGGTCTTCAGTGCTTGTTTTATTTTCTTCTAGAAGCATAAGAAGCAAAAATATGCATTACGTTCATTTGCAAAATGAAATAAAAATTAAGGCAAAGATCCTGGAGAAATCGGGTCCTGCTATCTTTCATTTCTACTAAACAAATATTTGACTGCACCTGAATAGCTCTCTCCAAAACATGAGCCTGAAGTAAGAACTGACAAGAGAAAAAGGCCGATCTGACCTGCTCTCCCATCATTTCCATTGGGCTCTTGTGTTCTGGAATGACAAGCTCCACATTGCTATGTGAAGGCGTGACATGAACCAATAGAAATCATCTTGCTTTCCACTGGTACAAGTGAGTAGTTTCTCAGTAGGTGACACTTCAGAGAAACAGGGTCTAAATTTGGCTTTGCCACTAATTAGCTACCTACATGACCCTCTCTGGGCCTCAGTTTCCTCATCTGAAACCTGAAGGGGTGGAACTAGAATAATCAGTGCTTCTCACACTGTGGGTCTCCACCCGTAGAAGTGCTGAAGGAGTCATGAGTGGAAAAAGTTTCGGAAGCTCTGGACTAGATGATCTGAGTTTTTTAT